CACAATGGAACCATTTTGACATCATACTTATAATTAATGAATACAAGATCAGCTGGGGCAGATCATTCAGTAAAATGACTGGCTATGAAATGGCCAACAGGGTCTTAATTCCAGGCAGAGGCAGGACATTTGTCCTCATCATCCACCCTCAATGCACATTTGTGGCCCTTTACACAGGAGTAAAATGGATGAAGCGTGGAAATGGCTACGCTCCTCCATCTAGTGCTGTGATTAAGGATGCATGGACCTTTACCCCTCTCATCCTACTTGCCTTCATAGTCTGGTGCCAAGACATAACAGTAACTTTACCTGTGCTCTCAATGCATACAAAACAAAGAATATAAACCACTTTGTATAAAGTTCACCCAGAGATTAAACAGTTCTGGAATTATATTTGTGCCTCTGCTGATAGTTACTAACTGAAGAAATGATACAATACCTTTAAGATAGCCATGTCCTCCACAGGCTTCGCGACAGGACTGTATTGCGTCCCTAGCAATCCAGCCAGCTACTGGCTTCCCTGCTGAAGAAAGGGCATGGATTTCCATTCCCAGATCTGCCTGCAGTAATACACAAGCAAAATTTTTTCAAGACAGTTAATTCCAGGGCCTTACTCATTCAACTGTTATAACTTTACAGTTCATATTGCTTACTGCATTATAAGTTCATAATGGTTATCACATTCATAAGACGACAGGCCTCATGTTATAAGTATGGTTCGTTTTGTTCTGCCACCTGTCTAGAAGGCAGTGCTGAGGCACAAAGCTATGAAGTTGTATAGCTGGACAGTTGGGGAACAAGGGATGTGACTGCATAACCAGCAGGAAACAGACTTTTCAGAAGTAAATATGTACACCCACGGCTTTGTTTACGATTTTTCCATCATCACTCAGATGTTACTCTACAACAGTACCAACAAGGTAGTCTTCTATGGTAACCTCTATAAACAAGGTTGGGAAAGTGTAAAGCATATCAAAAGTAGATGTACTTGGGTATACCATATATGAAGATTTGTATATGGATAAATACCGTCTTAAGTGCAACAAATTTTATTGTAGTTTTTTCTTCTTTTTCCTCCTCCACACTACATGTTTCGGCCCTAAATGGCCATCATCAGGTATTAATTACTTAATGAATAGACTCCACACATACCCAATAACAGAAAAAGGAAAACAAATAGAGAAGAACACTATTAAAAACATACTACATAACAACGGATNTGCTAACTGGTTTATTTAACAACCTACAAATCGTAATTACAATTAATTACAACACAGTTGTGGGTTTACACAATCTATAAACCCTATAAAATAATCTATTCACTCTGTCTTCAATAGTCTTCACTTATTCACAGTACAATACGGGAGCTATACCAGCGTCACATAACATAAAATACTGATCTATAAACTGTACCTAATTATGAAATTAATAACAAAATACATATCCCATTGAAGAATAGGATTGGGGTGACCACTGGCAGGCCAGAAGGATCAACTCGACATACAGCAGGCTCCTTAAGATACCGTATTTGGGGGAGGAGGGGGGGAATTTTTTTATTTATGAGCATATGATCACAATCCTGCCATCCATTAGATCTAGGTGGTCTGTTATGGACACTACAGAATACATTTCTATTTCTTATAAAAGTCCTTCTAAGTGCCTTTTTAATTCTAAGGGGGTGAAGGAAGAAAACAGTGCCACTGTGCCAAAGCATCACACCCAAGGTGTGTGTGTGTGTGTGTGTGTGTGTAGGAGTGAAGATAAAACACCAGCCACTGTTCCTGCTGTTAGAGCACAGGATGCACAACCCACACACTTCCTGGAAATTCACAATGTTCAGAGCAGGCGGTGCTGCCTTTGGAAATGCAACTCTTGACAATTCTTGAGCATAATAAATCAAAGGGATGTGTGCTGGAGACCCACATTATGACTATCACAGATCAATGTGCTGTCAAAAACAAAGTTTGTAATTTAAGGTCCAAAGTTACAAAACACCTATAGTTGACTGGGAGAAGTGCTGCCTCTGGAAATGCAACTCTTGACAGTTTTTGAGCATAATAAATCAAAGATAACCAGCCTACCAAATCCTGAGCAGAGCCAGTTATCTCCAGCCAACCCTTACCCAGGATGCACCACCTCTAACTGTATGCACCCTTACTGTGTGCTTACTGGTGGCCAGTACCACAACTCTTATCTCCCTAACACACCACCTCACAGCAACAAACAGGAGGGGTAAGGGTAAAGACAAATGGTGGAGAATTCGGCAGCTACAGGCGAGGCAGCAGCCAATGGCCCAGTTAAGATCTACTGCAGCTGGAGTTCATGCAGTGCCCTCCATTCTCCCAGAAGCCCCCCCTCAAAAGAATTGCTAAATTTGGTGCCAACAATGTATGGCTGTCCAAACATCAAACAACTATTACAGCTGGCACCCAATGCATGGCATCTGGCCAAGTTCAATTAAAGTAATGAACCGTCGGGTTCCATAAGATGCTGGGAATTTCTTGAGTGACTGTTGGCTTCTCAAGTAGGACTCCACTCCATGGGGGTAATGACTGCACATTATACCATGGATATTACCCTGCACTGCAGCGAATGCTTCATGACTGGTTATTGCACACCTCCGATTTCAAGTGACTCCATAGGAAAAATGTCCTGTAGTGTGAGATCTAGTGAATGTGGTGGCCATTCCGCAGATCCCCTTGGCCCGATCCACCATCCAAGTGGTACTCCATCCTGCTGGAAATACAACTGAAGGCATAACATGAGGGCAATTGCATCTAATTAAGGCTGTGACATAGTCTCCAGGAAAGCGGCCTCCATAGTCTAGGGGTAACGTTCCCACCTCATGACTCAAGGTATGCGGGTTCAAACCCGGCGGAGGTCGTGGAATTTTTAAGGGCGGAAAAATTCAGGGAACAAGTCCTCCGGGAGGAACTTTAAGCCATGGGTCCCATGTTGTAGATTTACGGCACATAAAAGATCCTGTCTCTAGGAGACCTCCGAGCAAAATTAGGCAAAAAGTTTCCTGCCCAAGTAGTTTCCAATGCCTCCGGTAGATGGGGAAGTTATCGGGTACCACTGCCAGAAGAGGGCTGACCTCGCTGGCAGAAAGGGGCAGATGGCGAGCACCAGTACTGGTAGGGCATGGCGACAGTAGAAATTAAAGGGGGACGTACAACAGACCACTAGTCGCGGGGCATGGGGAAACCCACCCCCTCTAATACTGAATAACTGAATAGTTTCCAGGAACTGATGGTAAGGGTCTCCTGGTGACCTGTTATTGAAAAAGACATGCCCCACAACAGCATTGCCAGGGATGCCACAACAAAGTTGATTTTGAACTTACATGATGGTGAGCATCAAGAGTTATGTGATGATTCTTGTCCAACCTCTGTACAACACTGTCTGTTGATGGTACCATTTTCCAGCTCTCAAACCACTGGATTTTTTTTCTGCGGGTCACTACAAGTTTGTGGTGTATGATAAGTGGCCACAAAGCTTTGCTATACTCCAGGACAATATTGGTTCTGTGTGCAAAGTCATTACTCCAGCAACTCTGCAATGATGTGCTCTAGCATATGGTGCCATTTACATGAGCAACTAGAGATCGACACCGGTCTGAAACACTTTTGGTACTGAATGTACAAATCTGTCTGGTGTCTCATACATGTGGGGTTCTGAGAACTTCCAACATTTTTCCACAGTTCCTGTATGAGTATATTAAAACACAACTGTGTCATTCCTTATTCCTGTTCAATGTTGTACCTGCCTCTCCTTCATTACCACATCCCTACTGCCTGGAAACATATCCCTATTTTGTCATCATGTCACCTTGGCACCATTATCATAACTTGTAACTTTTTACCACTGACATGTAAAGAGTGCAGGACTATAATGCTTTATCCTCAATATAAATTTCCAAACATCCAAGACTGGAAACACAGGACTTTCAACTTTTTCTTCCTTACAATTTTCCATATTTTGGCAAATAACCAAACTCTCCTATGGCCTGAACTTTCAGGACACTGTGCACATGTGCATGTGTCAGGGCACATGCGTGTGAATGTGCACATATAAATGTATGTGGGTGCATGTGTGTCGTGACAACAGTTAGGCTTCATTACAACCTTCATTTCATTTTTCACTAAGGCAAATATTTAAAAAATTAGGTGTACAAGGGAAAACAAATTAAATATATATATGATATTGTAATAGGATTAGATTTTGGAACATTAGAACTGTATCTGCAATGGATAAGCATCAATGCCACAGGGTTATACAAATAAGCAAAGACAATGAGGTATGCAAAGAAGCAAAGATAGCATTTAGAAAATACCTGTCCATTCCTGCCTTACCATTTCATCACTTTTGTCCCCCATCATAGTTCTGGCAGTAAATTCTCCAAACACCTTGTTGAAGTAATCTGTGAAAATTCTGATTGCAAATGCAGCTGACACATATGGAAGTAGTCTGCTTTGCTGAAACAGATCACGATACAAACACAATTTCATATTAAATGCATATTTACTGTAAGGCACCAAAGTAAAATTAACAGATTATTGTGTACCTGGAGCTGATATTCAAGAACAGGAAATTCATTGCCATCTTCAGGCCCAAACTGTTTTCTTACTGCTGAGTAACGAACTGCAATGGTTACAGCACTAAAAAGATATGACAGACAAATTCCAATAATTGTAACGCGACCAGCTGATAGGGATCCAAATGCAGCACCTACAAAGACAAATCAGTGACAGCAAATGATAAAAGGGACAGTGATTATGTTGGCAGTGGTGGCAGCAGCAGCAGCAGCAGCAGCAGTATTTAGGAGCGAATTTCAGGGGCTTTAGATATTGAGATGGAGACTGGTGATAACAATATAACGGATATAAGTGCAGTGAAACCTCCACTTCATATTTCTTTGGGGAGCAGTGGATTTGAACATCAAACTGAGGAAAATGTTAAATGAAAGCAATTACCACAAAGATCACTGATTTGGGATAATTAAAACTGAAGACTGAGAACACTAATTAGGGATCCCACTATATTACTACTGTAAACAGAATCTGCTTCAATAATAGGTTTTTGTTAATGGTGATAATGAACCAATGTATTCTTAATACCAAGGTTAATTACATGTATAAGTGTATTTTAATGACGAAACACTGAGCTCCAGTGACATCATTCCCACATCACATTTACAAGGTTCCAGGTTCTATTCTCAACCTCAAGACTGGTTATCCTGACTGAAGCTTTTCACATGTTCCTCAGTCCCTCCACATAATTGCTGGCACAGTGACATAGAACAAACTGTAACTGCAAACTTCACACCTCATTACTCACATCATCCCTCATTTAACAAATACAAGTATGGCCTACAAAGTAAAAACAAAAAGCATCTTTAAATAAGCCAAGTAAAAACATTGGCACAAAATGAAATGAAAACTTCTGCTTCCTCAGATGGTCTGTGTATTGTATCCCTCTTTGGTCCTTCCAAGCCTCTTTGTCATTGGGACCGACTGATTCCATTGATTTACTGTAATCTGTTTCACATCTCCCTTTTTTATGGTACTTCCCATTCTCATGGACCATACTATCCACCAAAGCTGCTGTCAAATGTTTTCATTTCAGACATGGTTTCTTCTCTTTGCTCCCACTACTGGTCTCAGGAATTTCATTTGCACCATCTCAATATATCGTTTTTCTGCTTTACTCAGAGTCTAGCATTTGTTATCCACACATTAAAACTGATTTACTAACCACATTATGAAATCTCAACATTATAACCTTCCTCATTTGTTTTGCAAAATTATACCATTTGCCAAATGAAAACTGTGAACAACAATCAAATCCTTACCCATTCTCTTTTTGGGATCCTTCAAGCCACTGATGTATTGCCCTTCAGGACTAACATCAGCAGTCTTATTTAGGAGATTTTCTCGTGGGATCCTATAATTCTGGAACATGACAAATCCATTGTCAACACCATTCAGGGCAATCTTCTCACCTAAGTCACCAACAATGACTCCAGGAAAAGGTAAGAGTGTTGCAGTATTTCTTATAGGAATAATAAATGGATGCAGACCGTGGTTTGTGCCTTCAGGAGTGATTAACTGTGCATACACAACAGCATGGGTACTGCATTTCCCTGAAAAAACAAACCCAAGCATTTCTTTCTCTCCCTCTCTACTGAAGGACATTGGTAATAACTGGATTTGAGGTTCTCACAGCAGTGTCTATGAAGAATTATATTTTCTCAGATAAAACGCTGTGTAGTTTGCTGAAAGTCAACTGACATCTCAGAGGAATATAGCACCTCCATTTTCAGCATGAAACCAGCTCTGCTTACTGCCTGCATCACGCTGGTTTCTTGCTTGGCTTAGTCTTTGGCCCTGAACATGCAGGCGGTATGTTCCTCCATAACCTCAGTTGACCTTGACTACATTGCACAGGGTTACATCCCAGAAGACAGAACTCTTCTTACATGTGTAATATTCTGGATAAACAATGGTTTGTTTTATTTGATGTTCCTATGAAGATGTGAACAGAATGAACTCGGAAGAGGTCCATTGCCAGGCACTTACAAACAGAGACAACTTTCAGGTTATACTCCAGCATGAAATTTCTTAACTATCAACAGCAAACTGTGTACCAAGGAGTTACTAGCATGTTACGAGCAGCTAGCAGATCAAGTACGCTTAAAACGAACCAGCCTGTGAACACCAAAACAGAAGCTACTTTTACTTCAGAATGAAAGCATAATCGGTTATTGCTAATGTCTCTACTGTGGTTAATTTGCCCTTCATTGCTTTATTAGGCAAATTCTGCTGTTCCATGATGATGATGATGATGATGATGATGATGATGATGATGATGATGTCAGCACAGAGGTCCTGCAGCTTAATGTGAATCCTTCAAACCTCTGTAAGGGACTTGTATATATAACAAAGTATATATTAACAAAGTTTTAAATTTGTTTCAGATGACAAAAGAGAAAAGTATATGGAAGAATCCATATTAGACCAGTCAATCTGAATCTGACAACTTTGCACAGAAGCCCAGAGTCATAGCCACAGAGCACCAGATTTCCATATGCTGGCTAATAAAGACAATATAACCTTCATGCCCTTTAAATAAAGGAGCAATAAAACTTAACTTCCTATATATCTATTCACTGTTCTTGATAAACATGTTAACTGCAAGGCTGGATGGAACCTGTTCTTCACACACAGTTCTACAATGGTACAAAAAACAATAGAAATGATTCATATAGATGTGAAGTGACTAAGGGAACAGAGCCCTGTTTTGTTACTTACCCAAGTTGCCAACCCAACATTTTGCAGCTTCGAAGTCTGGGGTGTGTATTATAAATTCCTGGGTTTTGGGATCATATGTGGCAGTTGTTCTCATGCCCTTGGTATTGGTACCATGCGATATTTCTGTCATTGCAAAGCAGCCACCAATCTAGAAGCATGAAAAATATATCACAAATCAAATACAATTTTAATACCAGATAGCCTCTTCTAACAATTATCTTTTTGACCAACAATTCTATATGCAAAATAGAACATTCAGGGATGAATAAACATTTAAAGGTAGACTTACCATAGAACTGGGGACGCGCCATAGCTCAAGCAGTTAGTCGCTGGCTTCCCACCGCGGCGGCCCGGGTTCGATCCCGGGTCTGGTCAAGTGGGATTTGTGGTGGACAAAGTGGCACTGGGGAAGGTTTTCTCTGAGTATTTCGGTTTCCCCTGCCAATCTTCATTCCACCAATTGCTCCACAATCACCATCACCTATCATCTGGGGCTGGTACAATAGGCCAGAAGTGGCCGCAGTACAAGGGACTTAGTCCCACCACAATAGGATTAAAAAAAATTACCATAAAACTTAATTTTTTCTTTCATTTGCCACACTTGATGTACATGCCAATACATGAAGATGCCATATACTATACATTATCTATTAACACGTAACAAAAGTGTTCAACAATGCTGTCTTTCTGTTACCAGTCAAAGCACTTGGTTTGAATTTTTATGGCAGTTAGATAGAATACCAAAAAATATTAAACATCTGCTCTGTAAGCCTCTCTCAATACATTAAATGTAGTATATACACTTACTCTGCCTTCTTGAGCAGCTTCCACATAATGATAATGTCTTGCAGTTCCCATAGCAGCAACTGCATTTGTAAACACATGGAAAGTTAAGCAGTACTTCAATGAAAGGTCTGGATTCAATTGGAACAGCACAGAGCACAATGCAAATGGCTGAAAGTAAAAACATCTTATTGTACATGAACATATATATTGTCCATGTCGTGAAATAAGATCGGTTACTTCCATGGAAATGCAACAACAGTGGCCCGTTGCATATGAATATCCATGAATTGTTGTTGCATCACAATGGACAAAACCAAACACTTCTACAAGGTGAATTGAGTAAGACTAGCATTTCCTAAGCAATGGAGGTTTCGTTGCATTACAATGGGAAAACCAAACTGTTCAGAAAGGTGTTCCTGAAGTGGTCCACAAAAAAAGGGGGTTGAATGCACCAGACAAGTTACTTGAAGTCTAGCAGTCGCTGAGTTCAGTTGGATTGAATGAATGGAGTCGAGACAGTTTCAGAGACAGTTGAAGTCTTGCAGTCGCCGAGTTCAATTGGATTGAGTGAATGGAGTCGAGACAGTTTCAGAGACAGTTTAAGTCTAGCAGTCTCTGAGTTCAATTGGATTGAGTGAATGGAACCAAGACAGTTTCAGAGACAGTTGAAGTCTAGCAGCCGCCAAGAACAGATATAGATAAAGTGTACAGTGTGCAGTAGAGCTGCGAACTAAGACGACACCAAGACTGATGGAGTAAGAAGAATTGCAATATTGGACGTGATAATAATTGTACTCGCTAGTGTAAAAGTGAGCGTTCAATAAACGAATTTATTCTGATCCAAAGACCCACACAATTTATTTGTGTCGCATCACACAGCCGACACGTTACAATATTAAACTGTCTATGAATGGTAATGAACCTTCTGGTTCCATAAAATGCTGGGAGGTTCCTGAGCAGTTGCACAATTGGCAGCTTCTCAAGAAGGGCTCAGCTCCATGAATGAGTGAATGATGAACATATACATTATATTCTTAGTTTTATGTTCACTTAATTCAGTTTCAGTGACCATTACTCAACCTGATCCAGAATACTGGCTGTTTACTGCTGTGAAGTGTGAACTCAGTGAGTCATGGCAGCACATGTCTGGTGTGAAAGCAATATCACTGTCACAACTGAGGTTAAGTTAATTTAAGTTTTGGCATGATTTGTTTAAACTGCTGAGAGTTACAAACAAGCACCACAATGCAGCTTTTTTTTAATCCACTTCAAGAAAGAAGATTAGTGGTAGCACACTAAATGTGTACCTGGCTCAAACCTCCGTTGAAACACCCGATACCTTGAGATTTTTGTAGAGGTGACTCACAGTCTCTCCTGGCAAATGCTGGGATAACACCTTCACACAGGTTACAAGCACCTCCAAATTCACATCTACTCAACATTCACAATCATCGTCCCATTTAATTTTATGCTATATAATCTGTGCCTCTGAAGTCCCTATCATTATATAACATTACATTTAACTGTAAGATTTGGGGGTTTCAAGGTGGTGACTACGAAGAAAGCCGTCTTCTGGGATGTGATGCCGTGTAAATATTGTATTAACCAACATTTCGGAGGAACATATGATGATGGAGGCGATACGTTCCTCCAAAATGTCAGTTAATACAATATCTACGTGGCACCACATCCCAGAAGATGGCTTTCTTCATTACACTTAGCTGGTTGAACTCATGAAGGAATAAACCTATTTAGTTACTTCACTGTGGTCAATTAATGAATTGGCTTTTAAGTACAGTAAACATTGTTAATAGCAGTTTGTGCAACAAAAAAATACCGAACATATTCAAAAATTATTTTTGTAATGTGGCCACAATGTGTGTTGCAGCTGTCCAACATTTTAGTGCACACTTTAGTTGCCATTTTCAAAGGTGACTATGGGTGAGCACTGCAACTCCAATTTGTGTCAAAATGTTGGAACATGTTCTACACATGATGTACCTCAACCCAAAAAGCTATGTTATAGATTAGACCCAGGCTGTGAATATCCAAAGTTCCTTAGTTTTTTTTTCTTTCATTAGAGCTACTGCCTTCATTTAGGCTTAGGGCTACCTCCATGAAACTCTCCGTTTCACTTCGGTTTACTAGATCTTAGACATATGGTAGGACTCCTTGGGTGGGTGATCAGCTAGTTGCAAGGCCTCTACCTGTACACAAACACAGAAAAACGCACACAAACATTCATGCCGAGTGGGATTCGAACCCACGATCCTGGCTTCCAAGCAAGCGAAGACAGTGCATGCCTTAAACCCCTCGGCTACCGTGACTGGCAAAGTTCCTTACTTGGTCTTGGAAACAAAGGAACAACCTGCATACCTGACATTTTCAGTGCCAGTTGTCATAGTGAAAGTGAAGCAGCTTACCTTCCTGCAAACGAGTGCAGTGCTTCAGTGCAGATTTACTTACCTTTCTCATGTCTTCTGCCATTTCTTCAAAAGGAAGAAAGTTATATTGTTTTACACGGTACATCTGCCTTGTTGCCAGACGCCGCTGCTCATCCATACTTAATGCTGACTGTGGGCGTTGAAACAATGGGTCTGCTTCCAGAACTCTCCACATCTTCATCTTAAAGAAGTAAAACAAGATTTTCTACTATCAACCACTGTGTTTAGACTAACTACTAACAACCTCTCTAGTTAAGAACTCAAGCTTGAACATCAGTAATACATAACATTGCACATAAGACAGCTGAATCAGTGACTTGAATTATTTGTAGGACAATCATTAATACAACTGACCACGATCCTCAGCCAGTTTAATCCATGCCATATATTCACAATCTACTTCCTTACAATCCATTTTAATATCACCTTCTCACTCTTCACTGTGGCCACTTCCAAAAGGTACCTCCACTGAATTATATCAGTTGCATTAAAGAACACTGTTTTTAAAAGAGAGCCTAATGGAAATTGAAAGTGGATAAACTTCTTGTTTGAAGTTAAGTTTATTGGTCAGAAATTTAAAAACAACTGTTACAGGTGAGCGTGATGTCTTCTTTCTGTAGATGCATCAGAAGTGGCAGCAGTGCTTGGCACCACTGGCACAAGACCACTATCTAGCATACAGGCACGCAATTTCTGGTGTCACTGTATGATCATTTCATTGTATATTCCATTCTAATTGGTCTGCAGAGTTGATTTAAGGAGCAATGGATTCCTGAGTGTGTGGATATAATACAGATAATAAAAAAATGTTTTCTAAGTTAGACTTGAAAGGATTCTGATGATGGTGTATACTGCACTTCTTTTGGCTTGTTTTGGACTTCATCCATCATCTAGTGATTGAGACTGGCTCTTTCTAACGGGCCCAACTGAGTAGGTGTATCCTTCCCTACCCACCTGAAGACGGAGACAGATCCAGTCTCCAAAATGTCATGTTCTTTTGTCTTTTACATACCAGATGATGAAGTCCAAAAGAAGTTTTCTAAGTTGTTTGTCTTTGACTTCAGATGGTTACAAAGAAAGCTGAATTTCTGTTAAACTTGGTCAAGATGTAGAGCAATTTTCAAGCTGCTAGAAATTTTCATCCCATAATTGTAATATAGAACTAGCAGCCTCTGTAGTCTAGAGGTAACGTTCCCACCTCATGACTCGTAGTACGCGGGTTCAAATACCCGGCGGAGGTCGTAGAATTTTTAAGGGCGGAAAAACTCAGGGAACAAGTCCTCCAGGAGGGACTTTAAGCCGTGGGTCCCGTGTCGTAGCTTTACGGCACATAAAAGAACCTCATATCTCCAAAGGAGGTCACTGAGCCAAATTAACGGACATTTCCTGCCCAACAGCAGTTTCTAATACCTCTGGTAGATGGGGGAAGCATTATAGATACCTCTCAGCTAGTAGAGCCGGTCTCGCTGGCTGGGCGGGACTGATGGTAAGCACCAGTACCGGTAGGATATAGAGACTGGTAGAAATCATAGAGGGAAGCACAATGGACCAATACAGGTCTCAGTGCATGGGGAAACCCACCCTCTCCAATAACTAACTAACTAACTAACTAATATAGAACTTCTGCAGATTTTAATCGTCTTTATAACATATACCACTTATCTGTAATAAACAGTGGAGGAGGAATGGTGTTCTTTTAGAGGGACAGAAATGCTGACAATGTATAACTCGAAGATGGCATCAAGACCTGAATCTATGCACACATCGAAGGCCACAAGTGTGCGGCCAGAAAAACCAAAAATACCAGAAGAAACATGGGTTCAACGCCCTCTTTCATTAAAATCACTACAACCTTGAAGCTCATATGACTAAGTTAAAGAAAAGCAGTAAATGACACATAATTTATTCTGAAGAGCTCAGTCCTGAAATGTTATGCACAATGTTGAACTTCCTATACTAATTACAGGTGCCCAAAAATTCTGGGCTGGTACTTAATTGCAACTAAAGCATGTGGTGTATAACGACTGCATAAGAAATGCAGTTTTAAACACAGTCATAACTTATTAGTTATTAAGTATAGAATTATGATAAAAGTTCTGGCCAACATCATGTGTTCTGAAATGTGGCAGATAATAATGTAACCTCAACATAACAAGTTAGGAAATGAAGCTGCAAGCAGATGCAAAGCTGCTACAAGAAATGCCCAATATGTCTTGGTTTCGAATACAGCTGAGCGCACACAATGTGTACCTTCCCCTACATCAAAGAGAAGGAAGGACGCAGGTATTCTTCATGCCCATATACAATACTGTCCCTCCTTTAGTCCCATTTGAGGAACAGAATTTTCTTTCCATATATCAAGCCTTGCCTGAAATTATAAAGTGATGGATAAAATATTAAAGTAATTTGGTAAACATACAACATTTGGGGTCATCAAATATGCATGGGCACAATCTCAGGGAGGGTCTCCTAGAAAAATCAAAACTTGCACAATATTATCTATGAAGAATGTCAGACATTAGGCTGGAATAAAAGCAGGATTTTTTAAATTCAAAAGTAATAGCAAGTATATAAAATTCAATAAACTGGCCCATGTGGTGTGTTTAAAAAATCAAATCAGCCAAACCAGCAAGGGGGTTGGCAACTTTCGGGCACGGTTAATGTGATCTGACAGACCCTCAGGGCTATCGACATGAGTTTTGTTTCAGGGTTCCATTTTTCTTCCAAAGATGGCACTAGCAGTATGTGGGTACTGTAGTATTTATTTTTCCTGAGCATCGTTGTTGGTTGGTTGCTTGTCCGGACTGATGCATTCATTTTATATTTCCTTTTCTATCTTAATTTCAAGTCCTTCCATGTTTTTTCATAATTTTTATATAGATTTCTATTATTTCCCACTGAATAAAACTGATCTTGGGTGCATATACACAGGTAGTTGTACTGTTGCAGGCCCTACAGCAATTAACTCTTTCTAATGGACCCAATGGGGTAGGTGCCACAACAGATCCAGTTTCTGAAACCTCATGTTCTCCACAATACCACAAGATAGACAAAGTCCCAAAACTTAGTAACACTAATGGAATAATTTAATTATCCCAGTTATTGTTACCAGGGTTTCAACTGCTCAAGTTCATGGCTGTAATCCAAAGTATCAATTCAGAACCCTTTAGAATTAGCAAATATGCTGCCTACTCACCCCTGGTGCACGAAAAATCATTACTTACAAGTACAAAATTATTCTCTACTATACATTAGATATCAGCCTATCACAGTGGTCACTCAGACACTTGGGCTGTGGGTTCGAATCCCACTCAAAAGATGGATGTCTGTCTGTTTATTCTGTGTTTGTGTTGTCCTTTACGAAACTGTAAAACAGAGGTCACAGTTCATCACAGACTGCAGAGCCCACAGATTATTATTACATGTGAGATATGAAATGTGCATTTTCTGTGACACATTCAGGCATATGGTGAATGACATTTTGATTGTACTGATAGGCAATGCCAACAGTGGTCATGCTATAAGGTAATAGGTTTAACACTACCGTGAATTCTGTAATTGATTCATCTTCTAGAAACAATTTTAATTTCTTCCAGTCAAAAGATGCTTGGTTTCTATATACATCTAGTGGTCCTGGAGGAAAATCTGGTAACAGCTCGTTCTTCATTGTTCTTGTTTTACTGCTAGAACACCATTTTAACCTGAAATAATAATAATAACTTTTAAGTGCTGCTAGCTTTTAATCCACTTCTCAAGAGACAAATTTGAAATAAAATACAATATATGATGACGATGATGATGAGTTAGTAAGGATTCTGCTTGTGGGCAGCCTTATGATCAAAATATGTGATCAGAAGTCTAATAAAATACTGTTCATAAATACAAGCATGGAGAGATTCATACAAGGTCAAATTCTTGGTTCCTATTTCACAAAAAATTAATAACCGGAAATACTGATGGCACTTCATTTACATCTTGCCTTATTGAGCCTTCTTTGAGAACAGATTACTTACTTGTGCAGCCAAACAGTAACAACAAACATATCCATGTAACATCATTATATTTCATGTAAACTCCGTAATAATTATACAAAATACATTTACATTTGGATAGTATTTAGCATTATATATACAAAGTGTCCCAGGAGGAATGTGCCAAACTTCAGGAGGTGTTGCTTATGTTAAAGTATGCCGATATAACCCAAAACACCTATGTCCAAAGTTGAACGGTTACAGAGATAATGGCCAGAGAAGTGTGAAACCTTGATCGGTGTTACACACTTGTTGATTACAAAATACATATTAAAACAGGCAGAAATATGTGGTTTCTGTAATGTTAATATGTACGTAACATCAAACTAACTTGTAAGTGACATGAAGCCATTAAATTGAACTACAAAAAACTTGCACGCCATGTCAAAGATGTCATTAAGAGTTCCAAGCACTATACATGACACATGAATGGCAAGCCCTGACGTAACATTGCTGACTGCGCATTCTGGTATGCGAGTGTATGGGGTAATGTGAGCTGCCATCACCACACTCAAGGACAAACGTAGATAAGACATGCAAGCTGACAGGTACAGTGCATGGACTCGCCAGAAGACCACACTTTTCTCAGGCCATTATCTCTGTAACCGTTCAACTTTGGACATAGGTGTTTTGGGTTATATCAGCATACTATAACATAAGGAACACCCTCCCGAAGTTTAGCACATTCCTCCTGGGACACCCTGTATATATATATTTATGATGTTAGATAAAGACATGGTTATGATTGGCTACAATCACAAAGATTCCAAATGTGAGCTGTCAAGCCACCAAAATTAATTCACTAACAAAATCACCAATTCTAGCTCACTGACAGTCTCAAAGCACAGGGAACAAATAAAACTCACAGTAAGGACCCCTTCCCTGGCAGGAAACAAGAGTGAATGATTACTCCTCTTTAAAGACCAAACATGTAAGTGGTTCACTCAAATTTATAGTCAAGTTTGGGCCACAAATTCACAATTCACAGAACACAAGCAACAGCTTCCACACTTTGGTGTGGAGTTAGGTTTCAAGGCAGTTATTTCACTGCATGCTAAAAGCTGGAATACACATTCAAACACTGTGCATTACAATATGCAAGGTTCTTTGGCACAACCTAGAATGCATGACATTGGCTGCCACACATGTCCATCATCATGGCTAAACATCTATCAGTTTTCAGCCTTGCTCGAACTGTGTGAATGAAATGCCGAGAAAGAGAATTACAACAATTACAATATTGACTATTCTGAACATGAAAAAGAAAACATAAAGAAGGTTATGGCATGTAAATGGTAAAACAAAGTGAATATTCAGATGTGAATCTGATACAAGGACTTCAGAACAGCAAACAAATATGGCTACAACTACTGTTTTCACATGAACAGTTAAACCTTTTAGGAATTTCTGGATAAAGTATTTCACTTAACAAGAGAGGAAAAACATAGTTATGAGAGAAGCTATATCTCCTAAAACAAAACTGCTTTCCACTCTCAGATTTCTGGCTAGTGCTAGAACTATCAGTGACCTCAGATTTTATAAAAGATATAGTGCCAATGCTCAAATGCTAAATAAAAAATATGCACACTTGAGAATTAACTAAAACGGCAGGAAAAAACTATATAAATGTATGCTGAGCTCCAGGAATTCTCAGCTTATTATAGGATTATTATGATTTATTCATTACAGTGTGCTATTCTTTGGATGTAGGTGTGACCAGAGTGGTTTGAACGGCTGCTGTACTGCGATGTGGAAAGCAAATGGAAAAACTACTACATTATCACTTTTCCTGGATACTCTCTTTCCAAAAACAGAGATACCATGTATGCGAGATGTTTCCTCTGGAGGCAAAACAATCTGGAGGTAAGCTACTCCCCAAATCGGATCTCCGGGGGGGAGTGTTTCTAGAGGAAATGTCATGCAGGCGTTACAACAAGAAAAAGTGCGAAGATCAGAAGAAACATCATGGATACAACATTGGAACATGGAATGTAAGGACCTTAAATCAAGCAGGCAAATTGGAGAATTTGAAAACAGAAATGGAGAAGAATGAGGTGTCTGTTCTAGGTGTCAGCAAAGTGTGATGGAAAGGACAAGGCGAAATAAGAAGTGGTGATTATACGGTGTATTATTCCGGAGGTGAACGGGCTGAAAGAGGTGTGGCAATAGTGGTGCATAAAAGTGTAGTGAGGAGTGTTATTAAGAAGATTGCTTGTAATGACAGAATTATTGCTCTGAAGTTAAAGGCGGAACCGGTAGATATACTTATTATGCAAGTCTACAAGCCAACATAAGAGTATGAAGATGATGAAGTGGAAAAAGTGTATGACACAATTGAAGAAATTCTTCAGGAAGATGGAAGAGGAGATACAAACAGCATCATATGGAAACTGGAATAGCATTGTTGGAGATGAACCATATCAGAATATTGTTGGATCACATGGACTAGGAAGACGGAATCACAGGGGTCAAATGCTTATTGACTTTTGTGAAAGAAATGGACTGATTGTTACCAACACTTGGTTCAAGAAGCCAAAGAGAAGAATTTACACATGGAAGGCACCTGGGGATTGGAGGATCCCACAGTAATTTAATTTATCTAGTAATATATTGCGGTCTATCACATCATTTGCCTTTGTCAAGTAAAAAAATATTCCTATAACATGTAACCGTCTATCCATCGCCTCCTGTATACTCTCAATGAAGGTCTGGGAAGCTGTTTCTGTCGATTTGTTTTTTCTAAGTCCATTTTGCACTTCTGTTAATATGTAATATATATATATTAATATAGTTAATATATTAACTTACCTATCTGCAGTTAAGGTTAACTTAAATCATTTTAAATTAACACGTCATTCCATTATAACCCTTAAATGTGTCTAGTCACATCATCTACATACAATCAGCTATTCTAATCACTAACATATCAGACGATAGTTATCAAGTCATGTTATCAGTTTAGGAGCAGAAAATACATTACAACACATTTTACGTCACTCGCTCCAAATGTGTCTTTCGCAATTGCACATCAATTAATTAAAACTAACCTCAAACATGCACCACTACCATCGTACAGTAATGTACCTCTTGGACCTCTCGTTCTCTTGTTCATATCGCTCATATCGTTCATATCTTCATATCATTGCGATCTGAGGACCGCTCACTAGCGCTCACTAGTCTGCAGCCTGCGTGTTCGTGTTAAGAACTTGTTCGTTTGAGTCAGGTAGAAAGTTTGGATAAGTATTCCCGACAAGGCCCAAGCAGTTTTCTTGTTCTAATTGTCGAATTAAAGTGCGTTTTAATATTATCTTCTCGTGTAAAGTCAGGTTTTACAAGTGGTTTCTCCCATTCAGGTTCTCCGATCAAACTTTTGAACGTTTTTCTGTTCGCTTCCACGCGTGCTACATGTCCAGCCAATCTCCCCCTTCTTTATATAATCATACTAGCATTACTTCGTTGACAATTATGGCGACCCATACACATATGAGTCTGGCTCGCGAGTCCGGCTCGGCGAGGAGCCGGGCTCGGATTAATTTCACCACACACGTATGAGCATGGCGACCCACACACGGACGAGTTTGGCTCATTGGAACCCGAGCCTAGTCGAACTCGCGAGCCAGACTCGTACGTGTATGGGCCCCCTAATACTACGTTACGAAATGTCAGAGCATAACCCAACCAGATAGCAGCTATCTCGTCTCGCCTAGGCGTTAAAAAGATCCAAAGTTTCCACTGCGATTCCAGTTTTCAGCGAAGATATATTGTACAAGTTATCTGAAAGTAAACCTGACGATAGCAACAGAAGGAAGTTCTGAAACGTATCACATTGGTTGGGGGCACGCGGTAAAGTAGTTGGTTGAGGGGCTATGCTACAAGCCGGAAGGTCGCGGGTTCAAGTCCCGATGAGGTTATTGGATTTTTTTCAGTTGACCTAATCCTTCCAGACGCATTAGGCCCTGGGGTTTACTCAGCCTCTAACAGAAATGAGTACCAGGAATTAATTAAATAATTTTCCTGGTGAGTAGAGCGCGGCCGGCGCGTAAGGCTAGAACAGTAGTTCCCAAACTGCGATGCGTGAGAGCGTGCCGGGGAAGATACCGCGAGAAAATATCAAATTTTTACGTCAAATTCACCTGACAATTGCTTTTACCTGCATTTAATTAGAGATTCTGTAAGCACCCGTCAGAAGTGTTAAGGCAAGGGCACTCCAAGGAAATTGATCCTCAGCAGAGGTAATTTGGTTTTTATTCCGACTCATACGTTTAGGAATGGCTCCTAAACATATAGGTATCCTGGAGAAGCCTCTCCCGGGAGAAGAATGTGACATGTAGTGTGTGTTTTATACATACTTATATAAACTTGATTTCGCGTACCTTGTATCGAACGTAATCTCTGGATTGTCTGCAGTCCGCCGAGGATTCGAAGCAGATACATAACGAATAAATGACATTGATTGAATACCGCTGATTACTATATACTTTATGGCGTCGAGTGTGAAATATTAAGAAGACGAAGAATGATTGGAGGAGGGAGAAAGAAAGAGAAAGTAAAGAAACAAGAGAGAATTATCGTAAGCTACTTCGTTTGGGTCACTCCATCAGAGTTAAACACGTTAGTAACTACACGTGACATGAATTTCTTCATGAGAGATTTCCTTAAACCTGTTTCTCACGTTCCAACTCCCTGGAACAATTCTGACTTCAAAGGATTTGTGGTTCTCACAACTGTGCTATATGTTATTTGATTTAAAGAAACTTATAGACGAGTGATAACCACACACAAGGCTTGCAGCAGTGCGAGATCATGGAGGGAGGGTTGTACACATGCAGCTGGGCTCGTCATTCGATCGCTCTGCTTAGTTCGCTGTAACTTGATTTGTTTCTACGCAAGAGTACGACCAGTGGCGGATGGATCCTGTATAGCCTACTTTCCTTACTTTGAAAAAAGTTCAAGTAGGCATATGCTATCTCCATGCTGTCTGTGTATCACCCATCCCCATCAGCTTCTGAATGGCTGAACCAGTCTTTATGAAACCTGGTGTGTATATCATGGCACCTGAGCTCATTTCAGCAGCGTACTTCATAAATCCCTCCCACCAGTCTGTGTGTCTATATGTATGTCCCTCCTATTGTGGCTAGTTTATTTTTATTTAATTTATTTATGATTTGTTAAATTAAGCCATGAGTAACTCATAATTTTTAGGGTCAAATGATCGAATGATAGTGATTCGTGATCTGAAAAAGATTACATGTGCCAAACCGGCATTTTCATGGGGGGACTGAGGAAATCCAAAGAAATTTTCATTCAGGATAGACAATGTTCCGGCCCCAATTCGAACCGAGCACCTCCCTAATAAAAAAATCAGAAGCATTACCGACTGAGCCACCTTGTTCGATTCTTCACTTCGTCAACTAGACCATCACTAATAACAGAACTATTTACCTAATAAACTTTCGTATTAATTATAAGAACATAAAGCTATTAAAATACGTTAAAAACACATATTACTAATGCGTCCCTGAACATTCGTGAACTACAAACCAGAGCATGGAGGCAAAACTCCATTCATTCTCCATCACAACGCACATATATTGAGGTCGAGTGGCCAGCTTCAGGCTCCGGTCCTTCGCCTCCAAAGAAATAGCATATTTGTTTATTCCATTACTTTATGATGCTGTGGTATAGTCACTTGTCATCTTAATATGTTTTGCACTGTATTTTGGCAGGTTGATTGCGAATGATATAGATGAGAGTGTGTCGTGTGGTCGTGGCATACTTAAGGCGTTCGAGTCGAGCGATTAAGGAACACCACTCCATCAGCATAGCCGAGGCTAGAGCTCGTGTCCTTATGGATACGAAACAAGCCTGATAACCACTACACTCCGTACCCATTCGACAACAGCCGGACACAGTGAACAGAGACACACTCTGTCCACAGCGGTGCATGCACACCGACAGTCCTGTCTTTATTAGGGAATGTTCCGTCTGTCGGCCTGAAAATAGATATCTAGTTTGAACTTACGCAAGACAGTGAGAGGATTTGTTTCGTCATTTTCCTAAATTACTCCAGGCAGAATAAGGAGTAATAGCTTAAAATGGGGCACACCCAGTTCCACATGTTTCCAATTAGCCGGTCACAATCCCATCAACAATCTAACCTATACAGCGTATGCAGTTAGAAAAGCGTCGTTAAATAACTTTGGCATGATTTATGACATCAAGTTCCCAGTAGTGAGTGAGGGGAATGTGCTATTTTTGACATTATCGGGAGGTGGCAGCTGGACACCAGATCGGTGGGTAGAGTTTTGTGTGCTCATTAGATTAGTGGCCCATTTGACACTGACAAGTACATGAAGCGAAGTATAGTAAGAGTTCAATTCGCTCTGGCAGAAAGGCCCAATATTTTAAGAACAATGCCTTTAAGAACCAGATTAATATTTCTCCCATCCAACTCTAGATCTCCCAATAACTTACTTTCCTTCAAAATCCTGTATCTCTACTTTCTTCCATCCAAGCTACATTCCCAGTCCATCATATCATACAAAAACTAGACAATCCATAATATCTTTCAATTTTCTCGTGCTTTAACTCTTCTTAGAGCCACATATTTTCCTGAACACGTGCTTTCAGACACTTGTAATTAATTCTCTTCCCTTGAAACAGAAGCTACGTTTTAGAGCCAGACAACAGTTTGTGAAGTAATGGTTTTGTATTTGCCAATTGTTATCATTTCCGAATATATGTGTGATTAAGAACACTTTAACTAGGCGTTTATGATTTATTAAAAACTCAGTAAATCAAGGCCCGATCACTGAGGCCGCGCGGTCTAAGGCACGAACTGTCTTCGCCTGCTCAAACACTGGGGTCGTGGGTTCGATTCCCACTCGAGGCATGGATGTTTGTCTACGTTTATTCTGTGTTTGTGTCGTCCTGTGCAGGTAGCGGCCTTGGAACAGGCTGATCCCCCGTCCAAGGAGTACTACTGACTGCATAAATATTGAGAAACTGAAGTGAAACGACGCCTTTCACGAATACCCTATGCTGCAGAGGGCACAACAGAATGCGAATGAATTAATGAGGAAATCAACAACTCAGATATCTAGTTTAAGTAAGATTCACGGCGGTGACTATGAAGAATTCCGTCTTCTGGGATGTAGCGCCGTGTAGATCTTGTGTGAACCGACATTTCGGAGGAACGTATCGTCTCCATCTACGGGGTAGAAAAAATCCGCGAGCGAGGAACCAGTCTGTAGCCACCTGCTCACGCTGGTTCCTCTACCCTGAAGGTGCAGGCGATACGTTCCTCTGAAATGTCGGTTCACACAATACCTACACTACTCCACATCCCAGAAGACGGCATTCTCCATTATCTGCTTTAATATTATCTTCTGAGTCTTCCTATTGCCCCTTCTTCTATGATGAATTTGAACCACAATTGTGTACACATTAATTTACTTTTAATGAGTGCCACGTGCTCCCTATTTAACTGCGTGGTTCTAACAGCGTCAGCTCTGATAAGCTAGTATAGCCCTGTAGTAACATAACAGGCCATGAGGCTAGAAAACTGGGGTTCGATCATCAGCAGAACAAGCATTTTCTCTTTAAATTCACCTCCATAAGCCTGTCGGATGTAGGGACACAAAATGTGTATTGTAAGGTCCTTTCTTACAGGGGCTTGTCACTCCCCTTCGTGTACTTCGAGAATGACCTCCACGCCTCTATACACGTCCAGAGCGTACAACTTACGACGCGGAAGTAAATTTATCATTTTTTTTTAACATTCAGCTCGAGAAATTAGCGAAAGAATCGTCAAACGATGCATGTCTCATTATCTTATTCATTTATCTCTCCCGCGTCGAAAATTCCCTCGCTTTTTATGTTTCCAAACACCTGTGCTCTTCACTGGGCGCGAGAAACTAGATTGCGTAGCCGGCAGTGATTGGACGATGCTATCATTCTATATTTATTTAATTTTGAAATCCGAAACAAACGAGGCTTTGCCAAAAATTTAGAGGAGACTTTATGCGTAATATTATTTTAT